TAAGTTACTTCTTAGAAGTTGTCAAATTTATTTCAAAAAAGATTTTTGTAATATGCTTTCTATATCCTTTTAAATTCTGTAAAAACTGTGGTAATGTCTCCTAGATCTTGATATTGTAATTTAAAGAATGTATAACTGATACTGTGTAACAGGAAGAAAAGGTCTAAAAGAGCAGGGGAATTGGGAGGGGTAGGGGAAAGAAAAAAAGGGAAAGGAAAAAATATGAGAAGAGGAGAAAAATGCAAACAAGGTCTTTGCAAATAGGGAAGGTGGAGGCGGTGAAGGGAGGGCAAGGGAAGGGGAAAAAAAATAAGAACCAAGAGACTCATGTAATGGTACAAGATCCCAATGATGAATGTAACTGTACTGTATACTTAAAATGTACCAATAAAGTTAATGGGGAAAAAAATAAAAATAAAAAAAAAATAAATGTGTCAATGGAATTTATAGTTGTTAGGAAAGGTGATAATCACACAAAGATAGTCACATAAAACTGGCAAAGCCTGCAGAAGAATTTTCCAGAGATGAGGAAAATCTAGTAATAATAAAAGGGTCAATTCATCAAGACATAATCCTAAATGTGTAAGTAAATAATAACAAATTCAAAATCTGCAGCAAAAAAAGAGAACTACAAAGAAAACATCAAAGTCACAATCATAGCTAGAGAGTCTAATATACCTCTCATAAATGGAAGGAACAGATAAAACACACCCCTTCTTAAAGAAGAAAAAGTGACAATTAATGTAACACTTATAAAATAACACATTCAACAACTTCAGGATGTACTTTGATTTCAACTGCATATGGAACATTCACCTGGATAAACCAAACGCTGGGCAACAACGCATATCTCAATAAATCCCAAAGAGCTAAAATCACATACAGTATGTTCTCAATAGTATTAAACTAGAAAACAAAATCAAACAGATAATAAGAACATTCCCAACTATTTGAAAAATAAGCAATACATTTTCAATAATCCAGTCAAAGAAGAAATCACAATGTAAATTAGAAAACACTGTATTTGGAAATGAACAATAATGAAAATACAACTTATCAAATTCTGTGAGAAACAGGCACGCAGCTTAAAAACACCCATGAGAGGGCTGGGGATTTAGCTCAGTGGTGCCTGTGCCTGCCTCACAAGCGCAAGGTGCCAAGTTCGATCCCAGTGGCAAAAAAAAAAAAAAAAAAAACTGTGAGAAATGATAGAGAAGTGCTATACAATAAGACCGGCCCTTGCCTTGCCTCCATTTTTTGTTCACAGAATGTTTTGTTTTGGAAATGTCAGTTTGTGTTGCTGGGGTCCTACCCAATGTATTAAAATAGTTTGTGACTGCTTGAACTGTGTGATCTTTCACGAATGTTCTGTTAAGCTCTGCCCCCTCACAAGAAGGTTCTGTTCCCACTTGACACCATCAATTATTCATTCCAATCCTCATCCACACTTTCGGTTTCTCACACCAGAGAAACCATTTGGTATTTTACACACAGGTGTTCCGTTTATTTCACTTAAGAGTATGGCCTCAATATGCATCCACCCAGCTACAAATGTCTCTAGTTTGTCATTCTTTATGGCTGAGCAGTACTCCACTTTACAAAAAAACCATATCTTCTTCATCCAGTCTCCAGCCAATGGGCACCTGGGCCATTTCCAAGCTTCAGCCATTACAAACTGTGCCGCTATAAACATGTATCACTGTGGTATGATTCTTCCAATTCCTTTGGGAAGATACCCAGCAGAGGAACAGCTGGGTCAAAGGGGACCTCCAATCCTAGTCCCTTGAGGCATCTCCATACTGATTTCCACAGTGGTTGCACCAGACTTCACTCTCACCAACAATGGAGAAGGGTTCCCTTTTCCCCACAACCCCACCAACATTTGTTATTGATTTCCTGATAGTAGCCATTCTTTCTGTAACTCAACCCCTCTGCTTCACTGAGCAGGCTCAAGCAACATGTGTTTCAGGAATGTTCTGTAACTCTCCCCCTTTGCTTCAGTGAGCATGCTCACCTACCCTGTAGATCCCTATATAAGGAGGCTCTCATTTCTGGTAGAGCACTCAGACTGCTCTGAGACCGCCAGGGCTCACTGATGTAATAGTTTTTTTTCTCCACCTCTTCAACTGACCATCGGATTTTCAAGTCTTCAAATTACGAGAGCTGTGACCCAGAGCTGTGGCACTTGGCTGCAATACTGAGCTGTAACACTTGGCTATAGCACTGAGCTGCTCTGCTCTGCCGCAAGAGAAGGATCTCTGATCCTTCAAGAAGCCATACATGAACTGAAATCTGGAAGGTGAACAGAATTAACCAGGCTAAGAAGCAACAGCAGTGCAGAGGCTATGGCTGAAAGATCCATGTAGGCCGGAATGGCTGACGTACTACACAGAGGCGGCAAGTACAAAAGTAAGTAAAATTATGTGTGTGGGGGGTCGGGGGGGTAAAGGGCATTCTACACAAACAGTCAACATTTCTGAATGATATTGAAAGGTCAAGCAGCATAGATTTTAAAATGCCTGTTGGATTTGTGACCTGGAAGTCACTGTTGCTATTTCTTAGCAAACACTGTCTCACTACAGTTGCTTAGGCTAACTGGTAGCTTAGGAGGCAGAGATGGGAGAAACAATACACAGTATTACAAAGAATTCCAATTACTTAAAATGTCAGCACAAGTACCTGTAGTACACAGAAAAAAAAAGGGACAAATACACTGAAATCACTGACTACATACGGACTGAGATAACAGATGACTTTTTTCTCATTTATAATTTTTAGTATTATTATAGTTTTAACAATAAGGAAATATTAGTTATAGAAATAAAAAATGTTTTACTTCATCATTTCTAAGTTACACAGAGTCAGACAAAACAGTGAAGTCCAGAAGTAATTCTACAAGTACCTTTACCTTGGGACTTAGTAATATATTTTATTGAAAGGAAGAGTATTTAGTTGGGGTTCTTACTGTAGATTAAGGAGAAACAAAGTAAGATTCTAAAACTCACTAAATTTGAGAAAGTTGATGACTAAAGGGATGAAATATTTTGGTTTCATTCCTAAACTTTTGTTGTAAAATCTAAGTTTGAAAACTTAGGTAATTAAAGGAATAAAAAGCCAGCAGTCACAAAAGACCTTAGAGATGACTGGTCTTATAATCTTTCACAATCCTCTATGACCTCACCTCCACTTACCCAGTGGCACACTTCTTGTATTCATTCCCAGAGAAACCACAATTGCCAAATCTGTCACCTTTAGAATTCACTTCAATGAAGCAATCTCTTGGGGCAGCCTTGGCTTCTGTAACGTTGAACATTTAAAAGAGAAAAAAGTTATGGCAATTTAACTGAGAAACTAAAGTACACCTACCATAGTCCCTAAACCTAGATGAAGTGCCTCCACAACTCTGAAAAGGTTTCAGATCTTAAATATAAAACATTTTTGTTCCATATTTCATATGAAACAAAAAATGTAAAAATAAGCCAGGTTTGTTGGTGCACACCTGTAATCCCAGCACTCTGGGAGGCTAAGGCAAGAGACCTCAAGTTTGAGCCCAGGTTGGACAATTTAGCAAGACCCTATCTCAAACCAGTAAGTAAAATAATGGGCTCCAGATGTACCTCAGTGTGAAGGCCCTTGGTTCAATCCCCAGTACCTCAAAAAACAAATTATGTATAACTTAATTTTTTCACCTAAGTGTAAATGCCTAAAAATATTTTATTGGAAATATTTTCAAGCCAAAATGCCAATAGTTTCTCTTTAATAAAGGAAACTCACTTGCCTACTTACACATCCAACACTGTGCTGCTTAGTTTTAAGGAAAATGAATGTGGGGTGAAGAGATACAGCAAAAAAATTAAAAATTAAAAAATTAAAAAGAGGCAGAAGATCAAATAAGATGAAAATGAATACAGAAGACCTGCACAGGATAAATGACACATGGCACTATCCCCAGCCAAACCCTTATAAGATCAGAAATAGTGATTAAAAACTTCAGATGATATACAAAGTACCTACAGTTAACGTAGTCCTGGGGTTTTTTCTGCAAACATTTATGAAGGTAATATCTTTGTCAAATAATAGTATGTGCCTTATTTAAAACCCTACCTATAATTACTCTTTTATTCTGGAATAACTTCCCTATTCCTCCATAAACACTTCAAAAGCTCACAGATCTCCCCACTCTATCTCATGACCTGATTTACATAAGTCTCATTTACTTCTTAGTTGGCCTTTCTTCAGTTCCCCATAAGATAAGGGGTACAACAGAAAATAGAGACAGTAGAAATATGGTATGAAAATCAACTTCAGCTTCATAGAAACCCAACATTGTAAGCATGACTAATCATCTTACCTAAACAAAAGAAATAATAACAGAAGAAGTATGGGTTGACCCAACCTAGCTACCTACTTACCTACCTTCCTCCCACTCTTCATTCATTAAATATATATTAACCACCTTCGAAGCATTTCACACCTCAATAAGGTAACAGTTTCCCATTAGCTTTCTGGAGGAAAATCCCTTTTATTACTAACTGTATGGGGTTTTTCTCAATTAAAGATAAGCATTGACAAACATGCAGCACCCATATATTTCATAAAGTTGAACATGTTGTTGCGGCTGTTCCTAATGACCCAAGATTTTTTTTAAAAGGCCTTGAAGATGGGGAGATAGAACTCTGGAATAGTTCTGGCACAAACCACCAAGAGCCAATTATCAAACACAGCATTTGCCTTAACCTGAAAAGCAGCCGCACCATGCAGAGCACCCCTGTTAGCATCACAGCCAGCTCAGTGTGTGATCAACATATAGCTTGTGAAAGGTGATGCTGTGCCTCAATACAACTCCAAGGTTCTTATCAGAAGGACAACAACCAGCTGCCTGAATCCTTTCTCTGAACCTCAAAGCTATTCTCCACAATGGGGCCGAGGATTAAGTTCGGTGGTTCCACCACCTGCTTCATAAGCACGAGGTCCTGAGTTCGATCCCCAGTACCAAAAAAAAACACCTATTCTCCACAATGTAGCTAGAGAAATTCCAAAGCAAATCTGATCATGGCATTTACACACTTAAAACCTATGTTTGTCCACTATCTGGGGCAGAAAAATCTTAATCTGAAATCCATGAGTCCACCAGTGGGAGCAAGATCTTTTAAATGGCAATAATCCAGTTTGTCTTGGCACTATTAATGTTGCTGATTTTGTTACTATTGCCAAGGTGGCATAGTTGTTGCTGTTAACTGCTTTTCTCTGCATGCCAATATCTGAATTGCCTTTGTGTCTATTATTATTATTCTATTAATTTCCTTTTATTCCTACCTTGTAAATATATATCTTATATTAAATCTGTTTCTCTAGTGAGCACTGACTGGCACAGCCCTCCTGATGGGGTTAATGCCACTGCACAAGGGTGAGTTTGGCCCATTAGTCTCTTTTCCTTCCTCCTTTCACCATGTGATGACACAAAATGAAAGCCCTCACCAAATGCTAGCACCTCAGTCTAGGACTTGCCAGCCTCCCAAACTGTAAGCCAATAAGTTCTGTTCATTATAATTTACCCACACTGTGGTGTATTCTGAGAGCAACACAAAACAGACTACGACAAAATCGCAGAATAGCGATCAAACAGCAAAATACAGCTTCTATAGTATCTGGAATTGAGATACCGTACCTAAAAAACAACCTGGGGAAGAGCAAAAAAGATCTCCGGGAATATCAAGAAGGAGCTGATGAGAAAACTAGAAACAACAGAGAACTGGAGAAACAGAGAACAATGCAAAAAAAAAGACCAAAGCAATCTGGAAAGTGTACCCTAGCTCCTGGGGAGGGGACCTGTTTTAGAAAACACAGGGTAAGCAGGGAGACCTCAATTCTAGGGAAAAACAAGCTGAACCAGCAGCACTAGCAGCAAGAAAAGCTGATGGTTATTGTAAACTGTAAAAACAGTGTGGGGTTTTACTCTGAAAGTGGCTCCTTCTGCATGGCAGGGAAGAGTTGGAAAAGAAATCCAGTGCAGCACCTACCATATTTGAGAGATTTTAATCAAGAGGCATTTTGAGACAGGGTTAATTACTTAAATCTGGGCCACAGAAAAACTATGAAACTATGTCACCTCCCAGCAGGGCAGGAATCAGCATTGGCACATGAAAACATGAGTGTGAAAACAAAACAGGTCTTCTCAGTGACTCACTATCCTTCCCCTAGATTTGTTGGATTCTAAGACTACAGACCCTGGAGAAAAAAACACTACTTCAAAAACAGAGAGGAATTATTTTTGGCCTCAACTTTTTTTGTTCCTTCATTGGTTCTGGGGGGCTTGTCCCCGCCCCCCTCCTTCATTTCATATTTTTCTCTCCTTTCCTTTAAAATTTTTTCTCTTTTTTTATTTTGCTGTTTTTTTCTCATTAGTTCTTTTCTGTCATTATTCTATTAATTTCCTTTTATTCCTTAATGAGATGCTTTATCTCACTTTTCTCTCCTCCTGTTCATCTTCCATTGCTTAATTTCTCAAATTTTACTTCCATTCTCCTGTTCCCCACCCCCTCCATCTTTACTAGTATAAACATTAAGCTTTATTTATCTTTAGATAGTTAACTCTATGGTATTACTATTGAAGACTTTTCTATTGCTAGTGGGGGTATAGTTGCTGCATTTAGTAGATATTTACTATATGTCAGATTTTGGTTTGTCTTAGTGTTTATACTAAATTGTAGATCTCTTTTCTATAGTTAAGAGGGGTATATTACTGGTTCTTCTTTTTTGTGTGTGTGTGGTACCGGGGTTTGAACTTGGGTCCTTGCGCTTGCGCAGCAGGCAGCGAAACCACTGAGCTAAATCCCCGGCCCTATTACTGGTTCTTATGGTATGTCAATAATCCAGTTTGTCTTGGCACTATTACTGTTGCTGATTTTGTTACTATTGCCAAGGTGGCATAGTTGTTGCTGTTAACTGCTTTTCTCTGCATGCCAATATCTGAATTGCCTTTGTGTCATTTAACAATACTTTTGGGGGCTGGGGATTTAGTTCAGTGGTTCTGCCGCCTGATGCGCAAGCGCAAGGGGCCAAGTTCAATCCCTGGTACCAAAAAAAAAAAACAATACTTCTGGCCTGGCCAGGGATTTAGCTCAGTGGTACCATGCCTGCCTCGCAAGCACAAGGTCCTGAGTTCAATCCCCAGTACGCAAAATAAAAAAATAAATAAATAAATGTAACAATACTTCTAGCCATTCCGTAGTACTGGGTGTTGTGGGAATTACACTTCATCTTCCACTCCCAAATTAACAGAGGTAGGCAGATCTTGAGACAGAGCCAAAAGCCTATTGTTAGCCAGGAAAAGCAGACAGTAACTAAAAAAATCTCCACACTAGCAACGAACTCTTTCCACTATAATCAACCTTCAAACCTCAGCATGTGCACGCGCACGCGCGCGCGCACACACACACACACGCACAAAACAAACCAACAACAATAGACACATGAGAAGACAAGGCAACAAAGTGCCTCCAAAAACTTCCAAACCCCCCAAAACTGACCCTTGGGGCACTGAGGGGAAGGAAATCAAAAGCCACAAAGTTGAATTATTCCAAATGATGAAAGGAGATTTTAAAAGATCAATAAGGTGTTCAGTGAGCTCAAAGAACCTAACTAAACAGATAATGGATTTAATAAAACAATCAGTGAGTTTACAAAAGACACTAATAAAAAGCTATCTGAGCTTAAAAAAATAATACAAAACATGAATGACCAGTCTGGCAAAGAATTAGAGTCCATGAAAAACACGAAGCTATTAAAAATTCTATTGAAAGTATGGGCAGCAGAAGTGACCAATATAAAAAGTGTCACAGTTAGAAAATAGAGATGAAGCCATTGACCATATACTCAGAGATGGCTTAAAAACAAGAGAACATGAAAAATGGATCCAACAGCTGCTAGATGATGCAAAGAAGACTAAGATGATGCAATCTGAGCCTAAGTAAGAATCAGTGAAAAATCAGAAGACAGCACAGGAGAAAAAAAAAAAACCTGTTTACAGAAATAATAGCAGAAAACTTTCCAAATACAGGGAAAATCTCACACAGAATACGTGAGGCATACAGAATCCCAAATAACCATGATCAGAAAGGAACTTCTCCAGGAAACATTACAGTCAAAAATCCCAGAAGTCCAAAACAATAAGAAAATCTTAACCTTTTAATGCCTAGTGATCCATTTTTGGAATGTCCATAATAGTGGAACGTAATGAAATGTGTTCTCTTCAAATTCTTGTTCCTTCAGTCTTTTTGGTAACATATATGAATTTTATACAAAAATACGAAAAATTCAATATTTGGCATAAACAGGTTAAAAACTGTTAGAGAAAAGCAATAAACCACTTATAAAGGTAAACCCATTGGAATTACAGTAGATTTCTCAACACAAACCTTAAAGTCCAGGAGAGCTTGGAGTGAAGTATTTCAGGCCCTGAAAGAAAATACCTTCCAACCCAGACTGGTATATACTTCCAAAGTATCTTTCAACAATGATAGAGAAATAAGGTATTTCCATGACAAAGAGGACCTTAAGAAATTCAGGACCATCAAACCAACCCTCCAAAAAATTCCCAAGCCTATCCTAGAAAGAGACAATGAAGCCAACAATACTAAAATGTTTAATGGATGAACACACCATGCAGGGGAAGCAGTTAAGCAGAAGGGGAAAAAAAGGGAATGAGCAACAGAGATTACTGTATTACTCTGGTTACAGATTTGCTGTCCCTACATACAATGCTTCTGCCAAAACTATCTGGTCCTTTGGAATTCCTAATTCACCACGTGTTCTTCCACACACCCTTGCTTCTGATCAAAGAACTCACTCCACAGCAAATGAAGAGTGGCAATGGGCCTACGTGCATGGAATGCACGGTTCTCACCATGCTCCTCACTATCCTGAAACAGCTGCCTTGTTGGACCACTGGAAATGCCTTTGGCAGACTCAGTTACAGCACCAGCTAGATGGTTATACCTTGAAGGGCTGGGACAAGGTTCCCCAGAAGGCTACATATTCTCTGAATCTCTTCCAACAAATGATGCTGATTTTCACATAATGAGGATTCAGGGTAAAGTCAGCAAGGGGTGGAAGTGAGAGTGGCATCTCTCATCGTTACTCCTAGTGACCCACCAGAAAAACTGTGTTTCCTATTCCCATGACTCTACATTCTGCTAGCTTAGAGGTTTTAGTTTGAAAGAGAAGAATTCACCACCAGAAGCCACAACAATGATTGCATTGAATTGAAGTTAAGCCAGTCACACAGCCACACTGGACTCATGCTTCTGAATCAATAGGCAAAGAAGGCAATTACTGTGCTGGCTGGGATGCCTAATCTGACTACCAAAGCAAAACTGGACCACTGCTCGACAATGGAGATAAAGAAGAGCACATCAGGAGTACAGTTACAGTTTATATCTAGATGTCTCCCTGAACCCTCATCCAATCACAGCTGGGGCTTTTTGGAAGTGATAAGATCATGTGGGCACTGTACTCATTGGGTTAGTCCATTAACAAGTTAATAACTAAATGTGCTGTTAGGAGCTGGGGCCTGGATAGAAGAGCCAGATCACTGGGGATGGGACCTGAAAGGGCATATTTTCCTCCCCTGATCCACCCTTCTCCCTCTCAGATTCTGGCTGCCATAAGGTTAGCAGCTTTTCATTCACCATGGCCCCTCTGTCATGCTGTTTCTCCTTTGGAACCATTGACCTTGGAGTGAAACATAAGCCAAAATAAACCTCTCTTCCTTTAACTTGCTGTGTCAAGTATTAAGTCCCAGGAATGAGAAAGTGACTAAGACATCCCTTATGGCAACTCATAATTACCACATTCTGCCATTAAGGTCAATGAAAACTTCAACAACAAATGCAAGCTACTAATGGCCCAGATCCTTTAGAAATGGAAGGTCTGGTCACCCTTTTAGGTCAAGAATCATGACCAGCTGAGGTACTTAGTGAAGGTAAAAGAATACAGAAAGGACCAAAGTAAATGAGAGGCATGACCATATAAGCCATTACAGAAATGGGGAGTGACATTACATTAGTACATTTTTATTTTGTCAGGAATATAATCATGATAAAATGCATCTTTGTCTCCCCTCTTGTCCCTTTATCATGTAATAATAGATCCACTGATCGTATATCTGTCAGGGCAATTTTGGATTTAATTCAGTAGAATAAGTAAAGCAGATTGTCCTAATGTGCAGGCCTCATTCAATCAGTTTTAAGCCTAAAGAAGAAAAAAGCTAACCTCCTTCCAGTAGGAAGAAATTCTTCTGCAGACTAAGACGTCAGCACTCTTCCTGACACTGAAATTAAACTGAAACACCAGCTCCTCCTGGCACATGAACCTGCCAGCCTTCCCAATGGAACTACACAATTAGCCTTAATGGTTCTAAGGAATTCAGGTTCAGATTCAGATTCAGATTCAAACTAAACCATTGCTTCTCTTTGGCCTCAAGCTTGCCAACTCACTCTGCAGTACTGGTACTTAGCCTCCACAATTGCATGAACCAATTCATACTGTGAGTGTGTGTGCGCGCGTGCGTGTGTGTGTGTGTGTGTACACACAGATATTGATTCTGCTTCTCTGGAGAACCCTGACTAGTGTAGTGCACCACTGGCTAAAACTGAAGAGAAACAGGAAATATTTAGACTTCTTCAGACACAGTGTAATTAGTAGAAACTGAAGCCTCTAACTACCCCAAGGCAAAATAATTTGCAGTTCAATTAGTGCTAAGAGGGGGAGAAGGGGAGAGAGGGAGAGGGAGAGAGGGGGAGAGAAAGAGAGAAAGAGAGAAAGAGAGAGAAAGAGAGAGAGGCACAAATTCTAGAAAAAAACAAAAGGTAGAAAAGCAATTGTAACTTACTACATACTTCCATTGTGAACAGTGTGAACATGGCTACTATACAATAAACAGACAACACTGCTTAGCTAAAACTAAAATTAATCCATATTAGAAGGATGGAGAATGGGAAATGAACATAGGTATAATGGGAGTTGTCAAGGGTTGAAGGAAGACCAAAAATGAAATCTCCTCTTTCATAAAAATAAAAAAGCACCATTACCAAATGAAGAGATTATCTAAGGACCTGGAGAAAGTCACAGAAACTCAGCTACAAAAGGTAAAAGTTGTTACCTCAAAGGATGAAGATGATGGGTAGAAACAGGCTTTAATTTTCATAATAAACCTTATAGAATAATTCAGTTTTTTAAATCTCTGGTGTACCTCTGAAAAAAATAAAAACTTTTAAAGAAAAAAACATGAAAAAATAAAAACAGATTCTAACTATGCATCAGTAGGAAAATGGTTAAGCCATGGTCCATTTAGCTAATGGAATACCCTAAATACTATGATAAAAATGATTAAAATACATGGACCTCAAGAACATTCTGAAGGAATGATGCAAATAGCAAACCCAAGTATACAACTTCATATTATTAAAACTAGAAAATGAGGGCTAGGGTGTAGTTCAGTGATACATCACTGGCCTAGCATGCACAAGGTCCTGGATTTGATCCCCAGCACCATTAAAAAAAAAAACAAAAAAACCCTAGCAAACAATGCTCTGTGTATTTTACACACAAAGACAGAGATAATTATAGAAAGCAAAAGTAAAAACAATTAATTAAATTTGGGTCTTATTAAAATTCATAACGATTGCCACTAGAAAAAGAAGGAAGATATTATAAGAAAATAGAAATAAGAACTTGTTATCAGTAATGTTGTATTTCCCTTCTTTAAAAGTTTAAGGAAAATGAAATCAAAGCAGTCAATTATAAATATCTTACTTGAACCAAAGATGACTTGACATTGAGCATCATAGTACTGGCACATGCCATTGTAACAATATGCCTTGTTATTCTGGCAAGGATATCCATTCTGAATAAAAACATCTGGCTGGCAGAACTGAGAAGAACCATTGCAATACTCTGGAACATCACATTCATTAGTTTTTCCTCGGCATAAAGAACCTCCTGGAAGGAACTAGGGCAAAAAAATTCAAATTAAATAGGAATATATGGACAATTTCTACAAATTTCACAAATTTGAGACCACAGCATTTTTATAACAATAAAGGGTTTTGCCAACAACAAAAAATTAAATAAGGCATATAAAAATGAACAAAGGCCAATAATAAGCAATTCATAAACATAGAAAATGAAAAACTGTAACTTCATTGGTAACCAAAAGAAATGCAAATTGAATAAAAATGCAAGAACATTTTACACTATTGTACTAACTAGAATTACAGGACTTGCTACTAACCAACATTAGCATAAAGAAAAATATTTGACAGAAGTATAGACTGGTACGTTTGCAGAAGATTTACAAAATGTGTACCAAAAATTTGAATATGCATATTCTTACTCAATGATTTCTCTTATAAGCAATAACTGGAAACAAACTAAATGTCCACTAGCAGTTAGCTAGATACATTATGGTACAGCCACCCAAAGGAATAGTAATTATATAACCATGTAGAACTACAAGACTCGAGAAAAGTCTGAATCTTACGGAAGAGAATAAGTAATGAAAATATTCGTACTGTATCTGTATCCATTTACAAAGAATCATACACTTGTACCCTTATATTTGTATGAAAAAAAGTGACTAGCAAATTATCAACACTGGCTACTTGATGAGTATAAAATGATAGTCTTTCGTTTTCTATACTTTGGCATTGTTGAATTATTTTTAACAATCATAAATTACTTTAAATTCTTTAAAAAATTGTTTCAACTTGGGAAAAAGTGAATAGACCATTTATCATAAAAGAATATGCTTTGAAATTGCAAATAAGTGCCATAAAATTTGTTCCTATAATCATATAGTGAAAATAGTCTTTTCTTAGCGTTTTCAGGAAACAAATTTTGATATATACATTTTTCTTTTTCTACTTTTTTGTTCCTAAATAAGGAAGAATTCTTACTTGGCAGTCTTTACAACAGTCGCCATATGCACACTCAGCAAATGATTTAAGCTTGCAAGTACTTCCTTCACAGCAAGGGTCCAATTCACATTCCTGCAAACAGAAAATGACTGTGAATGTGACATTAATATACATTAATCAAACTCTTTTCTTATACCTAAAATCTGCTTTATTCTAACTTGGCTATCACAATTACTCTTTACCATCAATAACTGAACTTAAGGATTTATTAGTTACAAGTATTTAGGTCTCAACATATTTCAAGAGACTGGAATCAGAGCATGTGCCTCAGTCCACCATAATAAAATACCACAGACTGGATGGTCTACATGACAAAAATTTATTTTCTCACAGTTGTGGAGGCTGAAGTCCAAGAACAAGGTTCTCCCAAATTTGGATTCTGGTAAGATCTCTCTTCCTGGCCTGTAGAAGGCTACCTTCTCACGGTGTAAGGTACCTAGTGTCCCTCCTATTAAAGACACCAATCCTGTCAGTTCACAGTCCCACCTTCTGTTCTTATTTACCTTAGTTATCTTCTCAGCCATGAATTTTGGGGATACATAAATATTCAGTCCATAGCAGTATATTTAATGATCACAAACAATTAAGCATTCATGAAAGCATTTCTCTTCATGTTCAGAATCCAGTTTTTCTGTTGGGTGGTTTTTCATCCTAGTGTCTACCTAGGGAGGTAGTGCTGGGGATCTATCCCAGCCCTGTGCATGCTAAAGCACATAACTCTATCATTAAGCTACATATGGCTTCTCTTACCACACTTCAGGCCATAATGATTCCACTTTGTCTCCAATATCCCACCTGCACAAATACCATCTCCCCTGGGTTAATACAGCAATATTAATAATCTGGTTTTTATATTGTGCTGTAGCTTGACACAATTGGGAAAAAACTTGAACAAGAGTACATGGGACTGTACTGTGTAAGTTTCTGTCAGCATATAATTATTTCATTTTTAAAGTGTTTTTAATTTTATGTTTTCTTATTAACATAATAATTATATATATATTTATTGGATACAGTGTGATTTTCAACACAAATTCAATGTATACTAATCAAATAAGGGTGATTAACATTTCCATCTCACAATAAAAATTTTAAAATAAATGACTTACAATCTATACTACCTTGCAACATATCAAAAACAGGAAGTCAAAAATGGATCAATGGACCAAAATGTAAAAGTTAAAACTATGAAACTTCTAAAAGAAAACTTTGTAACTTTAGAGTAGGTAGTTTTTAAATATAACAACAAAAGCACAATCCATAAAAGCACAAAATGATAAAATGGATTTCGTCAAAATGGAAATACTCTAACTCTTTAGACGATACTCTTAAGTTAAAGGCAAGCTACCATGTGGAGAAAATACTTACAAAATAAAATATCTGACAAAGTGCTTATTCCTGGAATATACAAAGTAATCTCAAAAATCATTTAAAACCCAATTTGAAAAACAGAGAAAGGAGTCAAACAGACACATCACAATATACACAGATAGCAAATGAACACATGAAAACATGCTCAGCATACTCGGGCCTTAGGAAAATGCAAATCAATACCTTAATGAGGCATTACTTCCCATCTAGCAGAATGGTTAAAATGAAAAAGACTGCATGTGAAGTACCAGTGAGGATATGAAAGAACTGGGCCTCTCACACATGGACAGTGGAAATGAAAATGGCATAAGCACTTTGGAAAAGACAGTGATATCTTGGTTGTCAAATGGCTCCAAGCTCAAACTTTCCACTACTCAAGATCGGAGTTTGAAAAAATACCTGCTCGGTGTTCTTAACTTTGCTCTAGTCAAATTGAATATCCGACTTGAAAAAATGTGTATGGGTAGTGAGTAGGTCCCGCTTCGCGGCTTGCTGCTGACACAAAGGGGTGACACCTCAGTCTAAGCACTGCTCTTGCCCAGACAACACACAGTGCTTGTGTTAGTTTGTAAAACATTCCTCATTGTGCTTATTTTTTTTTTTTTGCACTTTATTTGTGTAAAATATCGTAACCATAGCTTCAAAGAAAGTTAGCAATACCAGCAGTAAAGTGATAAAGTCAAAGAAATCATTGTAAAATTTGTTAAAGTCCTGGAAAAATGAATTTGTAAGTGTAATTTCTAGGCCTCAGAACCCATTATTTGGTTTTCCATTATTTCTTATGGGAAAAATATATTCAGTTCTTGAACTTTTCTGTGTTCAAACACAAATTTAGAATGAACTGAGTTCGACAACTGAGGTATTGCTGTAATTTGAAAGTTTCTCATACAACTATCATACGATCAAGTCACTCCACACCAAATTATTCACCTAAGAGAAGTGAAAACCTATGTCCACATAAAGACTGTACACAAAGAGCTTTATTTGTAATAGCTCAAAACTAAAAACAGCTCAAATACCCACCAAGAGACAAATACATAAACTTCAGCATATCCATAGTACTCAACAATAAACAACAGTAAGAGAAAGAACTATTGGCATAACTACAACTGCATGGATGAATCTCAAAATCAAAATACATAATAAAAGAAGCAAACCAAAAAAAAAGGTTTTCCTTCTATATAAAATTCTAGGAAATGAATACTAATAAAAGACAATCAATGCTTGCCTGAGGAAAATGGGGGAACAAGAAGAGGTGAGTAATACACTACTAAGAGGTATTGTCATTTGAAAATGAAAATATTAAAAATACCAATCACTTGGGTTATCATAGGAATTACACTCTAAAATATTTAGCAGAATTCCCTGACATGCATCAATTGTGTAATAACAGGCCAACACCGCTTCAGCAAGACACATACATACTGCCCTTCTTTAAAGTAAAGGCATCTAGTGAAGGCTAGGTGTGGTCAGGTAAGGAAGAAGATGCCCTTCTGGAAAAGACTGAGAGTACAGTAGGATTTACATGCAGTTAAACACATTTCCAAACACAATGCCTAGGAGAGCGAACTTCAGGAGGCCATTCTGAGAGGACGAGAGATGTGCATGGGTTTAGGGCAGTGTCAGTAAGAGGTCTGATAAAGTCAGTGGTGAGTAGGTAAACTAGAGATTAATAAAGGGAGAACAACATTTTGAGTAGTAAGAATTTTTATACTGAAGAACCCCAAAGGATGGGCCAGCCTTGATTTATTTTTCAAATGAGTGCAACTGCATAAATACTTCTGCAGTGGCATTTGCCAAAATATTTAATGCTTACAAATAAAGAGCCAAGTGAAAAATTAATTCATTTTTTAAAATAAATAAATAAGTTAATAACCGTAACAAAAATGGTAGAAGACGGGGAAAAAAGAAAACAGAAGAGAGAGCATATGTGGTTCATTCCTTGACTTCAGTTATATTCTGAGCAGAAGGAAATGACTAATTCCAGAAACACAGTCACACAGACAAAATAATTCTCATTTTGCCACTACAGATTATTTTAGCTCCTATGCCAGAGTTGCACAAAACCAGTAATTTTTTTTTCTAAATCTCACAATAATTTTACAAAGCAAAAATCAAAAATTAAACTGACCTTTGGAGTTCCACAGTCACATTCTTCTCCAGGGTCCACCAATTTATTACCACAGGAGGGCGCACTATAGGCTTCATCGGGCTTTGGAATATTAAGGAGGCAATTTCCTCCTTTATTTAAAGTTAACTTTTCAAAATCCTCTGCACTACAACTGCTGAAGTTTCTGGAACCTCTATAATAAATATTAAAAAAAAAGATCTTACATCATAATGACTGTTCATTTTTAAATGCTTAAGTCATGTCTTTAACCAAAAAGAATTAAATACTGCAAATGCTCAAAAATAAGCTAACAAAAGTTGATGGAAATTAGAATAACTATTCCTAATATAGAACATTAAAGCTACTATATAATGGTTCACAATTTTGGTTACATTATATTGTACCTCCATGAAAATATCTTCCAAACATATCACTTACACTGAAACACAAAATTGTAATTTTCAGGAAGAAACCACAAAAATTATCTAGTTCTACACAGAATTAAATTTTATTTATCTAACATAATAAAGGGACAAATATTAAAAACTAGCTATATCTTGTTCCTAATCTTTTCCCACTCTGCAGGATAACATTCTTATGTTCCCCACCCCCACTATCATTCATTGGGAGCTACAGAAAACATGTATGGGCAATTCCAGTACAGATGCATCATGGCCATTAAGATGCACACACACCTGTATGCCCTTGTTTTGGAAAACCCAAATCACATTAAACTTTCATCAGAGGGCTGGGTGTGGCAGTATACTCTTCCAGCACTCTTGAGTCTGAGCCAGCAGGATTCCAAGTTCCAGTCCTACCTAGACAATTCAGTGAGAGCTGGTCTCAAAACTAAAAAGGCTGGGGATGTAGCTTGGTACAAAAGCCCTGGGTTCAATTCCCAATACTACAAGGGGAAAAAAGTTTGAAGGGTATTCTCTTTTATTTATTTCTTCTTTTGTGGCTTGAGCATTTGGTACAATATTAAAAAAAAAAATGTCACAGTGAAACCCATTAATTTATATAGTCAATGTGTTAATTTTAATAAGGAAAAGAAGAACAAAATAAATGCTAAGGCTGATATCAAGGAGCTTTACCCTCAATGTTTTCTTGTAGGAGTTTCATGGTTTCATGTCTTACATCTGTTATCCATTTTGAGTTGATTTTGTGCGTGTGAGAACTGTGAAAAATATGGGTCCAGTTTCATTCTTTTGCATGTGGCAATTTAGTTTCCCCAGCACCTTTTACTGAAGAGACAATATTTTCTCCATTGTGCCCCCTTGATGCCCTTGTTGAAAATTAGTTCACTGTGCATGTTTGGGTTTATTTTTGAGCTCTCTTTTCTGTTCCACTTATCTATGTGTCTGTTTTTAAGCCAGTACCATATTGTTTTGACTACTACAGCTATAGTACCAAAAAGCTTCTGCACAGCAAAGGAAATAGCAAAATGCAAAGGCAGCCTACAGACTGGGAGATAATATTAGCAAACCATATACGGTAAGAGGCTAGTATCAAAAACTTGTAAACTCACAAAATTCAATAGCAGAAAAACAGAGAATACAATTTAAAAATGAGCAAAGGAGCTGAGCACATTGGGACATGCCCATAATCCCAGCTACTTGGTAGGCTGAGGCAGGAGGACAACCACTTCAACTTCAACAGGAGCAACTCTGAGAGACCTTGTCTCAAAAAAAAATAAAAATAAAAATGAAAGGGCTGAGGATATGGCTTAGTGGTAGAATGCTTTTCCAGCATGCACAAGCCCCTGGGTTCAAAATAAGAGCAAAGGACTTGAATATACATGTCTCAAACAAAGATGAACAAATGACCAACAGGTATATGAAACAATGCTCAGTATCACTAATCATCAGGGAAATGCAAACCAAAACCACAATGAGATCTCACCTTATACTGTTAGGATGGGTTTTAAACAAAACCTAAGGTAAGTGTGGGGAAGGGTGTGAAGAAAAGGAAACCCTTGTCCCCTGCTGGTGGGAATGTAGATTGGTGCACCTATTATGGAAATCATTATGAGATTCCTAGAGAAATTAAAAACAAAACTAGCATATGACTCAGCAATCTCTCTTCCAGACACATACACAAAGGAAACAAAATCAGTGCTCCACAAAGATATCTACACACCCATGTTCAGCATTATTCACAATAGCCAAGACATGGAAACAACCTAAGTATCAATTAATGAAAAATTTAATTGCTGTGTGTATGAAATAGCGTACAATACACACTCTCTCACCATGTTACTGCACTAGAAAGTACACGTATCCCTTTACTAATTGCTAGCTAGCCCTTGTATGTGAGGCCCACCATAAATCTTAGAGATAGCACCTTGGCAGAACAAAGGAAGGCCAAATGGGCTTACGCAAGAAACTGCCCACGGGCAATGGAGAGTGTCTACGGTCATATCAGGGGTCTGAAGGCCTGAAATAGTCAACCAAATTATAACAAATTTTGGGGGGGCTCCTTGTTGCTGCATAATAAAAGGGACTGAGAACAACATCTCGAGGATACCAGCTATAGACTCCCTGCCTTAAAACTCCTGCAAGGTAGCTGCCTCTCTCCCATTTCTCTTCCTTCTTTCAAATAAAGTGATTTTGTTCTTCCTTCTAAGTTTATATTTCTAATTCTTTATTAATGTAAGGTTACAGTTCCTGCTTGATCAAAGTATAACTGCTACACACATTCCCGGACGTGACACCTGGAAGAATCTCTTTTCCTTCAGTTGAGCGATGGCGCCAAGGAGTGAAAATTATGCTGCAGTACAGTCATTGAGGCAGCCACCTCTATCTCTGGCTGCTCTTTTGTACACCCAAAGAAATCTAAGAAACAATTCGTTTTTGCAAGATATTTTGCCCTGAATAGACATGATACACTCTTCTTTCCCAACAAGTTTCCAGGGAAGTAAATTGTTCTGGCTTCTGGCTCTTGGAATTAGCAATCTGCCTAAAACATTTTGATACTGCCAACTACTGTTTGACATGTCTTTGGATATGAGATGTTGAAAGATTTTTAATACATTGGCAGAAAAAGAGAGAAACATGAACAATTGACTCACTGTGAAAGAACATGCAAAGGCAAATTTTGATTCATGGAAAAAAAGATCTAGCACAAGGCTTATGACAATAACAGAGAGGCTTGTTTTCTGTAATCTTTTTCTTGCCACACTTAAGAATATTGTGAAGAAAGAAAAGAATATTGTGAAGAGAAGTCTTTTTGTGTACTATCAATCATCTGTTCATTCCAAACATATGTGTTCATCATCTGTTTATACAAGGCACGCCTATTGATCCAAGGGATATAACTGTGAACATAAAGCCAAAAACCCCTCCCCTGTGAAGGCTACATTCTAGGGAGAGAAGCAGACTCTAAACAAGAAAATGAGAATATGAGAAAGTGAGGAGTGCTATGGGGAACAAGGGAGGGAGCGAGGGCAATGGGCTGTTCAGGGAAGGAGTGATGATTTTAAAAAGCAATCGGGTCCGAGTTCGATTCCTGATACCAAAAAAAAAAAAAAAAAGCAATCGGGGAGGCACTTAAGTCTGTGACATTTTTAATCAAAACTGAATATATGTGATAGAGGAAAAATATAACTCCCACATGTTAGATGTCAAATGTGCCAAGTTCACAGTCCTACAACATCATGAAATAAAGTCACAAACCAAAGGGAGAAATTAGGAGCGTTTTATTGGAAATAAGGAGAGAGGAACAGCTCCTGAATTTCCAGAAGGGGTCCTGAATGGGGTGGCCACCAAGGCACCTTGTCAGGGGTAATTTATACAGCAAAGTCACAACATGGGTCAAACTACAATCGACCTACAGAATAACAAGTATAGCTGCTTAGCTAATATTGAGCCAATAGGGAAACAAGTCACATAACAAGGGTACATGGAAAGAACAAAGGCATTTTGGGGGAGGGATAGGTCCAGATGGTCTGGTCACCCACTACGGCATCTGATGCCTATTTGGACTTACTGGACCAGGTAGTGCTAATTATATAATCTTAAGTTATTGTTTATCTCCCAGGGAAGCATGTGGGCCTGGCCACTGCATTTTTATCTTGAGGCCTGGCCTTCTTCAGATTCACCTCCAGCCACAATTCTGAAGTCTTCATTTTTCTGCTAACTTCCTTGACAGGCTAGTCAGTCTCTGCTATCTTTTTCTATAAAGAGCTTTCAATAATATATAGGAAAAGAATATTACAGAGAGAAGGAATGAGAGGTGCAAAGAACTTAAAGTAGAAGCCCATGTGGCACGTGTGTTGAACAATAAGAAAGCCAGAGAGCTTGCAGCAGAGTGAGCCAGTAAGGGACTGAGTAAAGAGAGATACATTCAGCAAAGGGAAGAACAGAGGACTATAAAAATGTCTCTTTTTACTGTGAGTGAATTGGGGACACCGGGGTAGGGTGGGTAAACAATGGAAAGTATGGAAGAGGAGACACATTTCAGTAGGATTACTATGTTAAGCATGAAGATTGCAAGACAGCTCTTAGGGAAATCTACTCATCATGATGAATCAGAAATAACAGTGGAAGCAGGAAGAAGTGGTTAATTACTTATGATTTACAGGAATAGCCATTATGCAGAAGGAAAAAAAGAGAGAAGGCTGACCCCAAGGATGTGCTGAGACAGTAGAAGGAAGGAGTTACTTTTAACTAATATGGGGAAGATAGACTAGGTCAAGTTTATAAGGGGCAATAGAAATCTGAGACTATTAGACATCGAGTAAAAGTGTTGAACACATGGTATATAATCACCATTTGATAAACAATGAGGTTCCCGAACAGGGGCTTGTAAACATTCATTTCCTATTGCTGACCTTGGTAAGTATAGTGCCTGCCACACAGTACATACGCAATAATGTTCCCTATAAAAATGCATTAATTAGACAATAACCACAGGAGTTGTGTAGGTGTATATATATATTCCTACACTTAAGTCCTTGATTATAACCTGCACCAAATCTACTACTTTTGAACAGTAACTTCTGAAATGAGCATGTTACTTAGTTAAAATAATTTTCTCATCAACAATGCCTTAAATGTTTGATCCTAGAACAACCCACCAAAACAATCTATATATATATACAATAGTACCAAAAATTAGAAAACATAAGCACTTCTGGTTCTCTTCAGCAGATGGAGATATGAGCAAATATTTCCTGATATTGGACTTCTGCAA